TGAATCACTGTGCTCTTCATGCACAGGCACAGAAAATACCCTTCCAAAATTTTATCCTCCACACATAGAATCGGTTTTAGTTCAGAACCCAGGCAATGCTACCACCTGTTACCACGAAAATGTATTCAAGGAATGCATTCTCAAAACACTTTATTGCGAGATTTTCTGCTACTTCAGTAAAAATTATCATGGTGTATGCGTTGACTGCGGTTATATCTTGAAGTCTCACCAACGACTGACTGACGGGCTACGTGTTCAATCATATTCATGATATCAGAGACGAAACCATAAAGAATAAGAGAAATATTTCAAATCGAGTTACTCCACAACGTTTGTTAGTATCTAAAATCGTCTTCTCGTGATGTCTGGTCTATTTCTGACGATTGGGGTCACTTGGGCGCTCTCCCTACACCCACTTCCCCACCTTTCCTCTTGTTTTCTGGTTTAGTGCAATGTAGACTGTTTTTCAACTTCATTGGAGGTTTCTTTATGTTTATTTAGTCAATCTAGTGTGGAGACCTCTGGTAAAGTAAACAGTATGTTCACAGTAGCCTGGCTAAATGCTTTGTTGGCAAATGCGTCGATTCAATTGATGTTGATAAGTCCAATCACGATCTTTCTGGCTTTTCCTTGCTGGTGCTTGCCAATACGAACTTTGAACTTCCTCTCTGTTCTGATATAGATTCTGATGTTGTACTTGGCCCTATTCTTCGTATGCTCAGACGTTAGAAAGGGATAGCACTGATTGTGATGACCACTCTTACTTGCGAGACTCCTGTTATTTTCCAATGGAAGTATGTTCAATCAGCTTTTTGGTTGCCTTCAAGTTGATTTGGAAAAACCTGGAATGATTATAAACCTGATGGTTATTGACGGATTGATTGATTGAAAATAATGTTGTAATCACCCGTTGCATCAAAATTCAAGAAGACATTATGATTAAAGTGAAGGAATGGAACTGAGTTCCAACCCTCGAAAAGACGCTTGTATCAATAAACAGTCCCCGAGAATGGCGAAGGTTAAGGCAAATATCATTACCTTTTTGTTTATTTCATGAATATTGGACGTAAGCAAATATTTCGCCTCTGGGAATGAAACGTTCATTTCTACAATTATATATTTGTTTGAGAGTATGTTTGTTGAGGGCGCTCGCGAAATTAAAATTTATTTAGTTGGGTGAGGGTTGTTTCGCTGAAATATAAAAGTAGGTTGGGTCGGGTATATTGTTACTAACTTTCGCTTTTCTGAATGAACCTCATTTAATTTTCAATTAGGGTTACATTATAAAAGAGGGGCCAGGAAGAGAAAGTTGTGACCCCGAGATACTGTCAGAAATGGTTTACGGCTGTTACATTTTGTGTAGGTATACGAAGCGAAAATTTGACACTAGCTTCAACTTAGAAATGAACTTTGATCTGAGAATTTCTTGAATATTGGTAAGAATAATTGTGAAAACTTTCCACTTGAGGCAACCAACAAATAAAAGGAATGATGAGAAATCAGATCATATAGCTGGCTACTCCACTTCGCCGATTCAACGGTAAAATGCCGAACCAATAGTGAAATGTCAAAATTTCAAATGTCAAAAACTATCCCGTGTAAACTTCGAAATATTGGGCAAACAAACGTTTTTTCCGGGTCTAGTTGTCGTTGGAATGCTGTGGATGAGCCCTTGATTAGTTTTGGGGATGCCAAGCATTGCAACAAAGAGACAGAGGCGGCGGCGGCGGCTCGTCAGAGGAGATAAGGGAGGCTTAGCCTCCCCATAAAATCTGAGGCTATTCATCGCAATAAATTAAATGGTATTGACAAATTATTATGATTATGTTTTTCTAAAAATGCTTGGGTATCATTACTTTACCGTTAATTTTTAATATAAATACATAATATGCCCGAAAAAACACTCTCACTCACTACTTAGTACGTACCACACTGTATCCTGCATCAACAAAATTCAAAGGCACCGCCCATGATTAAACCATCAACCCGAAATAATAAATGCCATACGTTGCAAGGGAGCCAAGCCTCCGACCGCTTTAAAAAACACAGGCTCCACGAGACCGATCCAACTAGCGACAAACGTCCCGATTTGTAAATTCAGTTGCAGAAATTATAGCGTTAGAGGAGGCTAGCCTCCAGTTGGTCTCCGTTAGTGTATGACTGCTTTTGTTTTTTATTTAATTATACGGACGGGATGACGTGACGGACTGGGACTGAAAAATATTTCGGTAAATCGTTTTAGTGTTTCTTGATAATATTTGTTATTTGTGTATAAAACAGGCAGTATACCATTATATCAGTGCTTTTTGGTAATATTTCTAATGTGTTTATAAAGTGTTTTCTTTCAATTTCAAGGTGTTTTCAGGTTTTCACTTTTAGGTAAGTTTTTTTTCCATTTATTACGGATAAGTTGGGCGAAATTAAAAATCTGACGATATAGTCGATTGATTGCTGACAAATAATTTCAAGTCTTTATTTTAGCATAATAAATTTTACATTGTTAAAACTCAGGGAAGGCCTCAACCAAATTTGATTTCAATTAAAGCGTCAGATAATCGACAAAATCGAGGATTTAATATCAACTAGCACGATAAATGCGATTGGTTAACCGGCTCCATTAAACGAGAAAAACTCTTTTGTTAGCCCTGTGTTTTATTTACCGATTTAAAAAATGTACCTAGTTCTACACAAAGACATTTTAAATCTAAGGAGCATATATTTTCGTCTGGTAAATTAAAATTTTTAGCCAACCAAATATAGCAACAGCTTTAGATATAGCTCAAAAAGAGGCCATACTTTCTTTTGATAATCAGGTTAGGGAAAATCGGTCGAATTTAAAAAGACTAATCGGTATTACGATTCATTTTGGTCTCCAAGAATCAGCTTTTCGCGGACACGACGAAACCGAAGATTCGATTAATCGCGACAATTACAAGGAACTTTCAATGTTATGGGGCAAATATGATTCACAATTTGGCAATTTTTCAAACGGTGGCGTTTTTTTTGGCACTTCAAAAACCATCCAAAATGAGCTTATAGACAGTGTGGCATATAACAATGCAAGCATTTAAGCAAGGAGATTGAAAGTGTTTCTTTTTTTGCATGGGAAATTGATGAAACTACCGATATTACCTGTACATCACAACTTTCAATCGTTTCAATGTATTTTGCTTTAAATAGGTGCGGTACCCCAAAAAATTTTCGCGCCTCCGGCAGGCTTTTCTGTGTGCATATAGTCTTCATGACTTTAGCCTCCCCTGTTCTCCAATGCACGAGCCGTCACTGGACAGAGGCAACCCATCATGTGAGAAACTGGATAACAGGAATCCACCAATTCATAAACATTCAAAATGAATCGAGAGTTGAAGAGCTCTTTTTCAGATTTGTTGGTCTTGATCTGCGGGTTTGACTGCTTCGTCAGTTGCCTTACTGCCGTTAATAATGTATATCGTATTCGTAGATGAAACTTACTATCCAGAAGTTAGTCAGGAAACAAAGTCGGAATTTCACTCACAGATTAATATATCCGCAGGTCAAACAACCAGAAATCAAGAAATGGGTAACATAGAAATCTTCATTTCTCTTTTCATTATGATCTCCTACCACGTATTAACAGCTACATCCATCAATTTATTGGAAGTATTTTTATACTCACCAGAGCCGTCAGATAGCAACTCTTGGAAGAGGTATTTGGTTTCGTTCCGCCGGCCATATGTGCTTGTCCCTTCTTCGAAATCTAGGGTCGTCTTTGTTCAGTTTGTTGTGGTGATCACGAAGTACCAGGTTGGGGTGTATCTGCATTGATTTGGAGATGTTCTCATCGTGGTTTCTAATGAGGATATCTGCTTAGTGGATTCAGGTCTCGGTAGATGTATCACTTAGGTATGTGAGAGTGTTCACGGCCATTCGCAGGCAGACGTTCATGAGCCTTTGGATCTAGAGTATGTATGTTTCTGTAGAATACAGAATGATGAATAAGATTTTCCTGATTAGAAGCTTGGAAATCCAATAATGGGATAAAGGATAATTGAAAACACTTTCATCTCACCAGGTTTTCTGATAAGGAAAAAGTGTTCTCGATAGGTTTCACGTCAGCTGTTTCCAATTCTACTTATCAAGTTAGGATATATGTTATTTCTAGCGATCTTCTCGAGCCTCAACGTTTATATGACATGGGACCTGAATGTTAGTTTCTTGTCAAGGGTAACCCCCAGGTTTTTTCTTTGTTCANTATTTCCTTTCGGGCATGATTTACAACAATATGTTTATGTTTCGTGTCTTGCATTCGGGTATATGAACGTATATGATGTCTCTACTGTTCTATTTGAATATTATTGTGATGTTTGATTTTTCAGTTTAATTACTTTTCATCATTATATGACCTATCTACTATCATGCGAGATAGTCCTCACTTGAAAGTAGGCAGAATGAGATTTTCGTGAAGACCATTGACGTGACCTGGAGACTACTAGGCAAATTGAAGCTCCGGCGTCAAGTCACCAAACCCCCATACCAGTTCTTGAAAATAGCCAGCAAATTGCAGCAGAACACAAAACTTTAGACGCGATATAACCTGAACCAAACATATATTCAACTGTCTTCATTTCAAATCATTAGGTACTCAGTTGAAGAGTCTGTCTTGTTTTGAGACTTTTATTATCGCATAATGGCTAAAAAGTGGTATAACAATTCATACGTGTAATTTGACTCACTTCATTACAGAAAAAATAGGTCTAATGACTGTAAATTATGACTCAGTTTAAATCAGAGCTAATTCAAAAGTATAAAAACTGAATATTAGTTTTTAAAATGTGTTCAATTTCAAAACACGTTTCTTAGCTTCAATTGCCAGTCAAAATATAATAAATTTCACGGTATTTTCTAATAACTCAACTTATTTAGGTAATTAATACAGGCACTGAAGGTCTTATCCACTAAAATATTCTCTTGTGTACTGTCGCCATTTCTGTATATTTCAAAAGATGTTTCTATTGTTTCAGTCATTCCAATCAAAGTTATCGTTTAGTTCAAAAGAAATCGTAGCAATCAGTTGTTCCTGGTGTAAAGCAGCCTATCATAACAAGGAATCCTGCTTCAACACCCAACGTATAGAAGAAGAATGTACATTAGGTGAGTTTATAAATTACTCAAAGGTGTGAATTTTCTCGGATATTCGAGTTTTCAACTCTCCATAATCTGAAGAAAGACTAGTTCCAAATGAACAGAGGATCTGTTTAAGTGATATCAAGTTCATCCTGAAGAGTTACTGCGTGATTGAAAAATATCTGTTCAGTCAGTTACTTGTCATATTTTTCAAATTTTTCGATATGTAGTTACGCCTTGAAAAGTATGTACAAGATATGATGGAATGTTGACTATGGTGAACGGTGTCATGATAACATCATTAATGCATAAACAAGAAAAAAGTTATTGAATATATTACTTCGCATACTTCATTGAACTCTCTACTTATTTCATATATAACACTCCGATGCACGCACGACGGCGGTCTATTAGTTTCGGCAAAATACAATAAACTTTGGTATTTTTGAAATAATTTTTATCTAGATCTGCCATCTGATGTACCTGTCAAGTATTCAAAAAGGGAAATTTATACTTTATTTTACCATAATATCTTTTTTTGCATGTTTGGATTTCATACATTCGTCCCAATAGACCACCGTCGACCACATATGTAATTTCATTTGAATGATGTCATCTGGGGGCGAACGGAAAGAGTTTGTAGAAGGTTGTTATTTTATAAGAATAATTGTTAGCAGATGGCAGTGCAATCTAGGTAGATCCCCGGTTTGATGTTTGGAGAAATATTGTTATGGATCGCTGGTTTGTCAGTTGCGATGTCGTCAAAAATTGAAGACAGAATATAGACTCACCATCGTGGGTACAATAAAAAGCAATAAAAGAGAACACATACTAAAGATCATTCTGTAGGCTCCTCCATTTTTGGGTTTGGTGTTCATATGACGGCATCTTCTTTTGCCACAGATCTGTCAGATGCCGAAAATTCTGGCCATTTGGATAATGGGGCAAGCATGTACTCAATCAAAGCTTGAATATATCAAAGACGGATTATCAAGACGGATTTCCACCAAACAGACTCGCTTGCGAATAGTTTCGTTTTCAAACACAGAAACAAAAACAGAAACAATATAAGAAATAAATTTGATAAATAATGACATAGAAATGAATGGAACTGAGATCATCGTTTCGTAATTTTCTGAGAATGTTCAATCACGAATTTGGGAACTTTTCAAATGTACTTTGACCGAAAATGTTCAAACATAATACAAATTACAGATAAGATTCATCTGTATAGTTGCTTGTTGCCGCCGACAATTTCCATATATCGAACTCTGTTCACAAAAACCCAGACAAAACACCGAAACATTTTGATCTCTCCGCCTGCCGCCGGAATATTTCGTTGTTGAGAAAAACACTCGCACGCGACACAAAGTCTTTAAAAAATGTTCTTCAACAACTCGTGTTTTTATTTTGTCAAAGTCGACGGAATTGCTGTTTTGTTGTGGTTTTTTCCGTTGAATGGAAATCCGCCGTCATAGAGATCGCCACTCTGAGAGCGCTATGAGAATTTCCTTGCAGCGTATTTGACTCTTGTCGAATAAGAACATAGTAGTTCCAGACTTTTTTGAATTCTCGACGAATTCAAGAATTCGGAAAAGTCTGGAATTTTAGAAATCAAATGTAAAGACAGCGATGCAAAATATTATGGACAAACTAAAAGATCTATTGGAATTAGATATATGGACACTTAGCACTTTAATTCATTAAGATTAGTCCGACAAGTTAACAATAACAGGCATCTAGATGCCTGCGAAAGTGTAGAAATAAGTAAACATAATAATATTGTGGATAAAGATAGTGGAACAATACCTAATAGTATACCATACAGCTTGTTGAAATAATATTTTAATTATCAGATTTACCTGACTATTACATAAGGCCATAAGGTTAAAATTAATTTAGGACCAGTAGACAAGGCAACATTGTAAAATTGATTTTAGACAATAGGCCTTTTCATCATAAGACGAGCGCAAGCGTAGCTGTCATATTGAAATGGCGGTAATTTAAAACATTCGTACTTGCCACATTTTTTCACCCATAATTCACATTTTGCACATGCTTCAATATGTAATTTGCTTCATGATTTGATTATTTTTTTTTTGCGATATTCCAGACAAGGCTTTGGAAAATTTATAAAATAGTATGTGTTGGTTTTCAATGATTTGTATCGTGTATCACTTTTAATTACTTCATAACAACACCGTTTTTTGTCCCTTTTCGTACAGATAACATAATTATAATGACTTACTACTTTATTTTCTTTCACTTTTTTTTACAATTAATAAACTTCAATTTATATTTCAATTTTTTAAACATGAATTTCGGGCTCTTCAACACGGTTGTTTACAAAAAACAGTATGAAAAAGATGGCTGATACTGACGCATGCGCACAAAAACATTGTGATGAAAAGGCCTATTAGGACGCAGGTATTTAGCAGTGGTATCTATGGTATAAATAAGGATTACATTGTATGTAAATTCAGTTCAACCTTTCTCTTGAAGATGATCACTTGGTGATCGAAAAACATGTTGAGGTGTTGAAATAACGGTTTGTTATTAGGATATAACTCTAGTAAAAAATTCAGTTCAACCTTTCTCTTGAAGATGATCACTTGGTGATCGAAAAACATGTTGAGGTGTTGAAATAACGGTTTGTTATTAGGATATAACTCTATGAATATTCATATAAACTACTCAAAATGAATATAGAGACACATACTTAAAATCCAGTAAGTAAAATAATATGTATTATTTCATGATAAAAACTTCTGGTATGTACTCCATACTAATTCTTATAATGTGCCATTCGGTTGTTGTTTACTTTTTTACTTCTTTTTGTACTGTATTAGGTTTCAATTTACTTTAGTGATGAGTATTGAATTTTAAAATTTGAACAATGAATGTTGATGTATTGGGTAGAAGGAGGATACGTAGGGTATACCTCAACGAATTTCAAATTGCTAGAGCAGTGGCATTGATCGAAGTAGGGTATTCAAGGCGTCGTGTAGCCCAAATACGTAATGTGAGTCATTCTGCGGTTTTCAGAGCTTGGAATCGCTAGCAAATTTACGGCATAGTAAAAAGAGCCCCTTATCCCAATCGATAAAGGGCAACAACTCGCAGAGAAGATCGTTTGTTACGACTTTGGGCAATTAGGGGTCCCACCGATTCTGCTAGAATACTGCAAAATCGCCTTATAGAAGCTACGAGAACGCGAATTTCGAACCAAACGATACAAAACCGACTTCACGAAGTACAACCCCATGCAAGACGACCTGCTAGAGCCCATGGATCAACTCCAGCTCATCAAGGAAATCGTAGAAACTTTTGTCAAGAGCATCGTAATTGGAATTTAGAGCAGTGGGCCAATGTAATGTTTACAGATGAAAAAAATGTCATGTTATTCAACAATGACGGACGTATTCGGGTATGGAGACGTCCTGGTGAACGCTATTTGGATGACTGTGTGCAAGAAATTGTTCCATTTGGAGGTGGATCAATAATGGTATGGGCTGGTTTAACTTTGACAGGACACACGGACGTTGGGAAGGAACTTTAACGGCTGCCCCTCACATAGAGGAAATATTAGAACCTCATGTCGTCCGATCTGCACAGAATATGGGCGCTGGGTTCATTTTTCAACAAGATAATGCCAGGCCACACGTAGCCAGGGTCGTGAGAAATTTCCTACAGGAGCACAATATTAATGTCATGAGATGGCCAGCTAATAGTCCGGATAAATCCTATTGAGCAGCTCTGGGATGAACTGGAAAGACGTTTGAAGAATCATCAATCCTTCTAAAATCTGAACCAAGTTTCTGATGCTCTTTTGATGATTTACGAGCAGTGACCACAATAAATAATTAGAAATTTGGTGGAAAGCATGCCTCGTCGTTGTGCCAGGGGTGGACGTACTTACTATTAATGTAATTTTTTTCTGAAATAAATTTTATTTGTTTTTGACACTNTACGATTGCACACGGCTGGTGTAAACCTAGAAGTAGGAATGGGTCGATTGAGGTTGGGCCTATGGCAGAAAGCGCTTACTGCGCAACCTCTGCTGCAGGCAACCAGTGATGCAATTGAACCCAGGTTTGTGTTTAATAAACCCTACAAAATACAAATAAAACAGAACACTGAGTCAGATGCTACAAATACAATACGCATATATTATACAGATGGCTCAAAAACCAAAGAAGGCTCAGGATGTGGAGTATACTCCAGATCACTAAGCCTAAGGATTAAGTGGGGAATGGGAAAAAATATCAGCGTGGTCGAAACAGAACAGGCTGGTATTTCAATCGCCACGAAAGGAATAACCAGGAAAGGAATTTCTGGCAAAAACAACAATCTGCACTAATAGCAGACAATCCCTATTAATCTTGAACGACAACGTGTTACCTCAGGGCTAGTACTAGAGTACCACCAAGATTCAGCCAAAGCCTCGGTAAATAATAACATTATCCTGACGTGGATTGAAGGGCACGACAGGAGTAAAGGTAATCGCATTGCCGACTCTTCAGCCAAGGAAGCGGCCGGACTGAGAATTTTAGGACCCTGTGGTACCTACAGCCTGATGACTTCGACAGTTGCGGAACTAGCCAAATGTCATACCCATGCTCAATCCCTAAAGAGATGGGATGAAATTAAAGGATGCACTCTTGCCCGAATCACCCTGGGCGACCCTGGTAAGCTGGCGCCGAAAAAATATCTGGCGATGACCAGGAGAAATCTATGCTTAACAGTAGGATTTCTGACTGGCCACTGTCAACTAAGGAAACACCTCCACAATATGGGGCTAGTGGACACACCTCTATGCAGGATTTGTGAACAGGAAGATGAAACTGCCTGGCATGTCCTATGCGAATGTCCGGAGTTATCGTCAATAAGAGAGTGTGTGTTCGGCGAATATTGGCCTACCCCTGCCGATATAAATGAGATGTCTTCCAGAAACCTGTCCACCTTCCTGGAAAGGACAGGATGGACGATGACCTAGGAGGACAACTCCTTGGGAGGATGTACAATGG